TATAATAAAATTAAAGAGAAATTTAGTTTAAATCTTTTAATTGGACTCTTATTTGGTAAAAAAAACAGTTCATTTTATTTTGCTTCATAAACTCTTTAAGAAGGAGATGCATAATTGAGTAAGGACAAAAAAAATATCTTTTTTTTTTTCTAAGACAAAATTGTTAGAGTACATGTTATTATGAGATAAAATAACATGTTGTTGTTTACATAAATTTTTAGATGGTAATAAAAAACAATGCCCAATTTCGACGGTAATAATAATGCATTTGGTTTTAGTTTTCTGAATTCAATTTTTTAAAAATTGAATCTTTGTTTTTTGTGTTTTTTTGTTTTTAGTGATTATGTTTTAAATTTTAAACAATTTTTTTACTTTTTTAAATGTATCTTACTTAGATGTATCTAAACAGTAAAATATTTGTGAAAAAATATTTTAAAAAATTAATAAATACATAAAAATACGAAAAATGTACTAAATTTTCATATTTTTTAAAATATTTTTTGAATATTTTTTTCACAAATATTACACTTTTTAAGTGTATTTATGTTAGGTGTATCTAAAAATTAAAAAAATTACTTAAAATATTAAAAAGATTCATTTAAAACATTAAAATACGAAAAATAAAAAAATAGAATTTTCTGAAAACCTTTTTTTGAAAACCAGAACCAAACAAGCTTAATTTTTTTTAAAAAAAAAAAATTCATAGCCAACATAGATCTTATTTGATAAATCTTGATAAGAGAATTCTAAAAATACTAATTTAATTAAAAATTGGCATTTAGATAAAAAGTTATATCATTTTAAAATTTAATATTTAGGTAATAGTGGTATGTGTTAGACTTTTCAAGAAAAACTTTTTATGTTTATCCTTAATACATTAAAGTTTTATTATGAGAGAATTTTGATCAAATCTCTTAAATTTAAATAAAAATCTTGCTAACCGTATATTTAGAGTTAAAAAATAGGATAAATTACCAATAAGTTCTAATAGTTGGATTTAATTCCCATCAAGTCTTATTGAAAATAAATTTTGGTAAAATTGTCGCTAAAAATAATTTTTTTTGTGACAACTTTTTATATATGTCGCTAAAAATTAACAATTAGTGACTTTTTTTGTCATGATTTTTATAAATTGTAACTAAAACTTACAGTTAGTGAAGTTTTTTTATGATAAATTTTTCCAATATGACCTATTAGACAATAAGTCCACTTATTAAGACCTATACGTAAGTACTCCTAAAAAATAACCAAAAAAAAGAAAAAGAAAAAGAAAAAAAAGAATTCTCTATTTGGTTTAGATTTCAAAACATAGTTCCACCACTGATTTGAGTGTGGTATTTGGTTGCAGCTTTCAAATCATAATTCTACACTCATTTCTCAAAACTCATTTCAAACAATAATCATTACTTTTCAAAACTCATAACCAAACACACAACTCAAAATTATTTTCAAAACTCAAAAACAACTTAATTTTTATTTTAAATATTTCGTATTTTTTTATTTTAAATATTTTAATTTATTTTTAATATTTTAATTTTCATAAAAATATTTTAATATTTTGATATTTTAATTGTAAATATTTTGATTTTCGAAATATTTTTAATATTTTAATTTTCTAAGTACTTTTAAAATATTTTTAATATTTTTAATGTTTATGCAGGCCTAAAAAATGAATTGATAGAAAAATTAATTGACATAGAAGTTAATTGAAAAAAAAAAATTATTCAAAAACATTACTTAAAAACAATTAATTGAAAAAAAAATCATTTTTTTATTTGAGTATTTTAAAAATAGTTTAGTTATGACTGTTGATCAAAAATACGAATATCGAGTTATGAGTTGTGTGCTTGATTATCAATTATAAGTTGAATTAAGTTTTGAAAACTATTTTGAAAACTCATCACCAAACAAATTTTCTTATTTCACATATACATCAAACTTTCAAAACTCAATTCCACATACAATTCAAAACTCAATTCAACACTCTATTCAAAAATCATAACCAAATAAATTTTTTACACTCAAATCATAATTTCACAACTCACAAACTCAAAATACAACTCATACTCTCAAATTATATTTACAAAACTCTATCAAACGCAACTGATTGTTTTTCTTAAATTTCAAAACATTTTTCACTCTTTAAACCTTTTTCAAAATAATTCTCACGTCAATCCCGATACAGACCAATGGCAAATGCATTGGTTAGTATTTATCTTTGCAAATAGGGCACAATTTCAAAGATAAATATCTCCCCTGCAAGGTAGAACATTACTTTCACCTTTGTTCTCATGTTTATTTATTTTAGCCCAATCCCTTTTTAGTAATCAATAACACATGCATCTAAATGGTAGGTGGAAAATGCATTTGAAGACCAAGGTTGGAAAGAGTTGGAAAAGTGGAGTAAAATGAACTCCACCCTTTGTGTGAGATTACTTATATGGTGTGATTAGTGACTTGGTGGACTTCTCTTTGGACCAAACAGATCTATCAAACATGTTATAGATAGAAGATTTTAAAATCTTATAAAAGGTTCTTCTTTTTTAATGAGTATCGAACAATTGATATTGAAATTTCAAATTCAAAACTACTAGCTTTCCTTAGCCAATTAAGCATGAAACGTATTGCTAATTGATTTTAGACTAGTTCGATTGAGGAATACTTTTTTAGAATAGAAAGTAAACAAATCAAATTCTAATAATTCAATATATGAACAACCCATTAAGAACTACATTACCAACACTTGTTCATCGACTCCTCTATTGGTAGATTTACATTCTATGATCGACGAAATCTCGAGTTATAATAGTCTAGTCATATAAGAGATAAGCTACTATTTTGGCTTAAAAAGATGGTCATAAAAATGAAAACTTTCATTAAACAGGACAGACCTAACCAAGTGACATACTCCAAATAAGTGATCAATTCCAATTTGTGGGAAGATTAAGATGAAGTCGCAGGCCATATTGGAATGAAAGGAAGATATATTGCTTCGCCTTCAACATCAATTGTTTACCTAGGTCCACCCTATAGTATATAATGCTTGAACAATAATTATAAAAGCATGAATCAATACATACAATATAATTATAAAAGAAAGGATATTGACAACAAGTGGTGATTATAAATCTCGATGATAGCAAGAAAAAGTAGTTGGAAATGTGTGAGAAGTGCATAACATTCCTCATATTTTGACATTTTTCTCACATTTTTAAGATATTTGTAAGAAAAAATCTTCTACTCAAAATTTTCTTATACAATTGTCTCAAAGTCTTTTTCCACTACACATCATAACAACCAATCGCGTGATAGAGATTGATAAAGGAATGATTTGAGACAAAAAGACATGAAAGAATCCAAATAGAAGATCCAACCTCGTTGTGTCATCTTATCTACTCCATTAAAAAGCATGATAAAACATTCATTTAGTAACAATAGTAATGCTGGAAACAACCAAAGAAGTGGATAGAGTGTCTCATTGGGTATTTTGTATCAAGATACAAGAATGGAAACATTAACACTGGTATTGCGGCAACATGAAATGATTATAAACTAAACTTAACAAAGAAAAATATAGGAAGAGTAGACAAGATAAGGTCCCAAGCCTAGCTATACAATATTTTGATTTCTAAGTTCAATTCTTAGATATAGAGAGGGACATTACAGGTCATGCAAACAAAGGATTAGCAGGACATGAAATATTTAGATATATGTATCAAATCATGCATCTAACAGCCATTGTCAATGGTTTTGCTTTCTACCAATTTCTATCCCATGATTTTTGCTTTTTTAATGATATAAATATTAGATTGTCTATCAAACCCAGATACAATACATTATCTAAATACCACACATAATGGGGCCAATAGTTCCATTTGGTACAAGTCCTATTTTCAACCTTGGCAAACTATATAGAAATTTCAAATGTATGTATGAGATGATGTCACTTTTAATAAATTCTCTATAGCTAAAAGAAAATGCTTCTAAAGGTTCTTGTTTTTATTTTTATTTTTATTTTTATTTTAAATATGGATACCAGAAATTAAAAAATAAAATAAAATAAATAATACTAGAACATAATCCATAAAAAAGACCATGCAAACTGGCAAATTTTACTTACTTTTTTTTTACTAACTGATGTGCAATGCAATAGTAAAACTTTGAAATCTAGAACATAATCCAAATCAATAATGTGATAGATGCTGCACCATGCAATAATAAATTTCAGAATCTAAAACATAACCTAATTCATAATGTCACACCAATGAGTATTTGTAAACTTTGTTATTATGTAAAACACTGTTTTTATTTCATTTTCAATTGCAGCAGAAATTTTAGTACTAATATAACAATGCTAATGATAATATAAGAGTAAGGATAGAATCTAACCCAAATTGAAGTCAATATGAGATTCATGGATATATACAATTGTAGAGGGTCCCAAAGGAACAATAATAATAATATCACTTAGAGAGACAAATTAATGGGTCAATAATATGGAAAGGGTGGAGAATGAGTAACTAGGTGAGGGGGGCGCAAATGATTCAGGGAAAGAATGTGGCAGTGCTACGCTGCCCATTTGCACTGCCACATTCTTTCCCTGAATCACTCGCTCCACCCTCACTTGGTTACTCATTCTCTAACTTTACCAGATTATTGACTCATTAACATAGCTTTGCCTCTCTACATGTTATTATTATTACTGTTCATTTCGAACCCTACAACAATAAAAGCAAAACCATTCCACTAATACTATAATAGACATAATGGTCAACTCTGAATTCAACAAACTTGAAGCAACAAATCACATACGAGGAGGAAAATGTAAAAAGAGATGACATAAATTGCAACATAAGCAAAACTATTCTCCTAATACTTGGATAAAGAAAATAGTGAGGACTCAAATTCAGCAATCTTTTGTTCAGAGACAGAAATTTCTCACCAGGCCTAAGGTAAAATAAATTGCAGACAAGAATGAAAGAGAGAAAATACATTGCATGAATTCAAAATCTATCCAAGTTGCAGATATATCAGTATATTTTGAAATTAATGTATTACATCAAACTGTTGATCTAGAATTGAACACTTGCACCATTGAAAAGTAAATCAAGAAATACAAGTAGTTGCATCCTAGAAAAGCCCAACACATTACACATCCATGAAATTCAAATGGCAATATTGAAGTGCCATTGACAACAATGTGAAACTAAATCCAGCCAGCCGAAGCCATTACAATGAAGTTAAAATACATATTACCAATAAAGAAAGAAAGAAAAAATAAAAATCAAAAAGATAAAATAGGCACCTAAACTAAAAAGATGAAATAGTTTGACATGGAAGTCAAATATCTTTCTCAGATATTTCCCACATCAATTTTAAAAGGTGAACGTAGTTTGTGACAGCTTGGGAGACCCTCTGAACTCTAGCTGTATTGTTAAAATCATCAACTCCCCCCAAAAGAAGAGAATTACCAACATACAGGCTATGATAGGAACTCCCACCCCAATCAGCAGCTAGGAAATCGTGGCCCAATGGCAGCTTGGAACTCCAGCATCATGGCTTGTGGATCTTGAAGCCGAATACTCTTGGGACATAGCTTTGTGACACCTTTTGAGGCTTGAGGTGCCCGTAAGTCATCAGAAACAAATGAGAAAATGTGGTTCCAAAATAGGCTCCATCAATGTCTAGGTAAAGTTAAAGAAACTAAAAGAAACATTGACTGGAGCACAAAAAGCCAATCACTGGAAAGTGGTCTAAACTATGGTTACAACCCCCCTCATTGAGGTCAAATGCAATAGAATCTGATAACACTTTCTTATAAACAACACATAAATAAAAGTTGTTTCAACTCTGAAATAGTTCAAAAAATATATAAATAAATAAAATAAGTAAAGACTTTAGGTCACTGACAATCTATGAAGCACGGATACGGGTATGAGTACTGGTACTGGTATAATACAAGTACATCAATACGGTAAAATTAAAAAAAAATGGGTACAGGTACAGCTTGGTACGTTTGTAAAAAAATATTTATTTTTAATTTAGAGTAATGTAAAAATTAATTAAATGGTTTAATTTGTTAAGATCCAACCTACAATTAACATTTAATACCAAAAGTAAAAATGTAAATCAAAATTAAATATCAATATATTAAATAACTTACAAATCATAATTTAATTTTAAAATCATACTAAGCATAAAACAAAAAATAAATAAAAAAAATTTGGTGAAAGGAGTTTTATCTCTATAGTAGAAGAAAATATTGTTTTAACTACACTACGATATGATTTGGGTGTATACTAGGTACGTCTAGGTATGCCAAAAATTAAGAAGAAAAAATTTGAGTATGTGTTTTGTGTACCTAGTACGTATGCAGAAGTACCATACGAGATATTATACGCTGGTAAGTGCCCGGTAAGGGTATGACATGTTTTTTGAAGTACCCATGCTTCATAACTGACAATATTTAGGCCAAGTTTGGCATGATTGAAAAAAGACAAAAAGTCAAAAAGTCACTATCCTATTTAAGTCACATCATCTTATTTAAGTCACATCACCTCTCTAACACATCACTTCAAACTCAACCCAAACCCAACCCATATTTCATAAAAAGTCAAAAAGTACACTTATTTAGTCTTCCCAAACTAGGCCTAACGTCCAGCATATAGCAGCAATGCATTTAGTATACATTCTGATCATATTATTTGTAATTTAATATGTAACAATGGGACTTCTGATGCAAAGGAGGAGTTTATTTTTAAGTTGAATTTCAGTCTCTTTTGAGTGAAGGTAGTGTAGATCTTTTTCACATTTCCTTTTTGTACATGGGTTGCACCCCCTTGTTGTCCCTTTTTAATAACCTTTATTACTTATAAAATATATATTTTATATATTATTTTAGTTTTGTAGTACTTTTATTTATGTCATTGGTATTCTTGTGTTTAAATTAAATGGATATTGAAGATAATTTAAATTGCTGCACCAAATCCTCCCGGATGCCCCCTTGCTAAAGACTAAAACTTCCTAACAACGCATGGGGGCAGCAGCAGTTCAAGCCCATCCTAGTGCCCATCAACTGGCGATTTAAGTCACCCACAGTTGGATTCTATGCTTTTACTCCCAGGTTTTAATTCACCATTGTTTTTCTTCCTTCAAAATAGGGAAGAGAAAAAAAGAAAAAGAAAAAGAAAAAGAAAAATAAAGCATGGGAACTAAACAAAAAATGTGAGCTTAATAATAGAGAGGGAAAGCAGCTCAAGAAAATAGTAACTGTTCACATACGTAACACACCCTGCCAGGAGTTCAGCAGTGGCTCCCACCCAATTGAAATTGAAATAAAGGATACTGTTTTGGAACCTGGATCGAGGGCTATAAATATCTTCGCACTTGGGACAGTAAATTTTCACTGTGCTTTGTCGAGCAATGTCCGATTGACCAACAGGAAGGCAGGGTTGTCCGCAGCAGTAAACTCTTGGGCAACGTCCAAACTCAGCATTCTTGTACTTCTCTAGCTGTCAAAGATTTAAAAAGTACCCTGTCATAACAGCTAATCGAAGCATAGAACTGAGAAAAATAATAAACAGATACAATGGCCCAATGCTCACCATAGCAGCCATTCCTTTGCTTGTCAATACGTATCGCACGTGAATTAGACCATAAAGCATCTCTGCTGCTGATTCAACTAATTCGTTCTGTTCCTCTGTAAACATATCACCTACACCATTCAGCTCATCAAATTTACTCATTGCAAAGAGTTCAACAACTGAACTAGTGATCAAGAAGACTTCAAAGAAACGTCAAAGACAAAGAAAGGTCAAAGACAATGGGCAAGGCTACACAGGCAAGGAAGAATTAGATGGCTGTGCCTTTGTTTCTAATGCAATGATCAAGAAGACTTCAAAGAAAGGTCAAGGACAATGAGCAAGACTACACAGGCAAGGAAGATTTGGATGGCTGTGCCTTTGTTTCTAATGCAGTGTATTTGAAGAAAAGATGAACCAGCATACTTTGAGGATGTAGAAACCTCAGCTTATAGGATGAAGACGATTTTGCTATCAACTAATTATTGACAAAAGGGAAAGTTTTATGATATTGCCTCTTCTCCTGTTGACTTTATTTAATTTAAGTTGTGGAGAAAATATTCCTTTGCGCCTAATTGATGCTTGTCGATAAAATTACTTTACCCATCCAAAACAAAAATGCACCTTTTCCCCTCAGTTCTCACAAACAATCATCACCATTCTTAATTTGATGCTAAAAGAAAATTCGATCAATTGCTTACCTTTTAATTACATTGAATGAGTAGGGATTGCAATTGGAATTGCAGAGTCTGTTTCAGAGCATCAATTATTACACTGAAATAAAAAGCAAAGAACAAAATAGTAGAAGACGACCCTAAGAATCAGTGTTAGGGTCCCTGACACGTACCCTTATGGTCCAATCAAATTATCATAACAAGCTTCAAAAGCACAGTGAATTGCATTCCCGATTTCCCCATTCAAGCACACGGCTAAATTGTTTTCAATTACTAAAATATCTTTATTTCAGAATTAAGACTCCAGAATTTACAAAAAAACTGTGGATAGCTCTGAAAATGGAATAGTTAATGTGAACAACTGCAGCATAAATAATCCTACTTGCATGAACATTTGAAGGGATAAACATAGCAAAAAAAATGCAATTGATTCTAAAAAAATTAGGGTTACCATGAGAAGATTCAACATCCAGAATCAAATCGAGCGCATAGTCATAATAAGGAACTTGACCGCTTAACCCACAGAGGTTAAAATCATCCTGAATGTAATCATCATCAACTTCACAGAAAAACTCATTCCCACGCAGATTACAGAACCATGTGATCCAAGATGTATCATCCCCATCTGAACCACTAACATCTGACTCCTCACTGTCTGTTTCAGATTCCTCTGCAATTCATTCAATTGGAAGTGCATCAGCAACGATGAGAACCGGGAAGCAAGACAAAAAAAAAAACGAAACACTGTGTTATGCACACTACAGAAACTACTGAACTGCTTTCAGATGTAAACATATCATGCAGAACATACAACAGCCAGAGACATAATGACCAAACCCTTAATAAAACTCTAAAAAGTTATCTAAACTTTGATCGGCTATGCAAAACGAACGTATTGTGAACGGACAGAACAATCAATCCAATCACAGAGGAGAGAACACTCTGTGTTTCCATTTGCTATTCAAGGCGAAAAAGAACCACATGTTAGTAAGTCAATTCCTCATATTTCAATTAACATTACATAGTTAGCAGAGACTTCATCTAAGTATTCACCAGTCTCCCTTACATCCACTTGAATGGACCCCGGTACCCAACCACATCTCAGTGTCAACATAAAAGAGAAAAATTAAAAGTCATCCTGGGACATTTCGTTCCTTGCTTCATCCAACCAAGCTCATATATTAACAAACATGTGAAACTGAACTCATGTTTCTATTACTATTATTGTTTCAGATAAGAAAAAAAAAAAAAAAAAAGACTTACCTTCTATATAAGATTAAGCAACTGCTAATTTTACCATGAAAAAATAAAGAGAGAATAATTATTTTTTGACAAGTAAATTGTATAAATAAGGCACCAAAAGGGGCACAACCTTGGAACAAAATGAAATACATATTAAAAAAGCTCAACATGAAAATTGAGCTCACAGATAAAATCTAAACCACCCTTGAGCTAAAAGAGCCTAAATGGACATAAGCAATTAATGTAAGATGAAGTCAAGTTGATATGTTCAAAGAGCCTAAATGGACATAAGCGATTAATGTAAGATGAAGTTCACTTTTTAAGAGACTTGTAGTTGACAACTCCTCCCACCTCTATGTCCCTTCCTTCCTCCCATTATTTCAATCAATTAGAGCTGCTAGGTTCCATTCAAATTTGAATGCAAGATCTTTGTACCTTCTTAATATGCAAATATAACCAATTAACCTCTCTTTTTCTCTCCTTTTTTTTTTTTGGGTAATTGCAACTTGGCAAGTACCCTTTGCTAATTTTGTCATTCTATTCCTAATGTTCTCAATCAATTGTTACCAGAGATTATCTCAATATGCAAAACAGATAGAGGAACATGGAGTACAATGTGCTTATAAACATGGTATGACTAGGTAGACTTGTAACAAATACAATCTTGGAATGTATTAAAGCACTTAATGCGATAGAAACTTTAAATTCACAATAAGGTATTTAAGAGAATTACTAAAATGCATTAAACATTCACTTTTTAAGTTTCATTATGTTCAAATTAATCATTCAACAGCCAAAATTGCAAAATTACACCATATTAGTTTAACTAATTGATGTTCTATGCCTCCTTTCTAGATCTTTTCCAAGATAGCTAAAATTATTTTTTGTAACAATAGTTTTTCTATTGAAAGATATGTTAAAAAGTGCAAATTGGTAAAGCACCAGCTCTTCTCAGGAAAAGTCAGCACACTAGTCACTGGTGGATAACCAGATGTCCTCTTCTTTGCTCAAAAGTCTCAAAAAATGATCTGGATAATGAGTCACTCTAAATAGCTACACCACTTGATCCTAAAATTTTCAAGGTCACCATTTAAGGTTGTGTATGCTTCCATTCCACAATTAGGTCATCCATATTTTTGTTCGCTTAGAAAATTAACTATGGTCAATTAATGCCTCGACTTTTTAGTGAGTATTTAACAGGTCAATTAACAAATTGAATGCATATGCATATGTTAAAAAAAGAGCCAAATTGGGTTTACTTGGGAATTTCTTTGTACTCAAATTAATTATAACTGCAGGTTACAATCAGTTCAATATATAGCTATCTATTAAGTAAACTAAGCTTTAGCACCTAATAATTCCACTAATACTGAATCAAGAAACCATAACATGCAGCATGATATTTCTAGGAATAAAGTTAAGATAAGTGTAAAGAGAATCAATTGACTTGAGGCTGGCAAGCCAGATCAAGAACAAAGGTGAAGTTAATAATGCAATATATTTCACAGCAAAAGCTGACATATGACTCCACCATGTAACAACTTTCATCTTTCCCCAAGATAATAATCAAAAGGAATGGAAATGTATACATTCAAGTTTGTCTACACTTCCAATATACTTTAGGTTCATACTAATTAATTCCAAAGAAACCTCAAAATAGCAATATCTACAAACAACACAATTCAAGGACTAGCACTACTAGTAGTTTCCAAAAAGACATATTATCTTTTCAACACAATTATATAATTGAGCTTCAATGCAAATGAGAAAAGCTAATCAAAGGCAAATCTAGACCCATATATATATATATATAGAGAGAGAGAGAGAGAGAGAATCACCATCTGAACCTTTGTTTTCAGGCAAAGAGGCAGAGCGAGAGTCCCTGTGATCAGGTGTGGGCTTGGTGGCGGTCAAAATGGACTGAGCCGACAAGCGATCTTTATCCTTGGCGTTGAAAGACCTGGAAGTGGAGGGGGAGGATCGCTCCAAGTGCTTGTCGAGGGCATCGTTGATTCGCTTCCGATCAACGGGACCCATCTCCGACCTCGATCCCCCACCTCCTCTATCTCTATACATTCTTGTCGAAAGAGAAATCAATGTCGTCGTCCCCAAAACATAGTCCCTCAAAAAAGAACCCTAGATTTCAGACGATGCAAATATACAGATACAACCAAAAAAATTGAGGCTTTTAAGCCGACAAGTGTGATGTATATGCTAAGGGGGTTTTGGTAGGGGTAAGGAGAGAGAGAGAAGTTAGGGTTTTGGGTGGGGGTGGGTTTTTTTTTTTTTTTTTTTTTTTTTTTTCTGGGGTGGCGTTGGGTGGGGGGAGAAAGAGCTAGCCCATGCTCTCCTTCTCTCTCTAGATTTCGTTCGTTTTGGTGTTGGTGGAAAGAAAATATAAAGGGAGAGAGAGAGAGAGAGAGAGAGAGGGGTGGGCTCTGGTACACCGGCGGGGACAAAATACTAGTTAGTGGGGAATCTTGTGCTGCGTTTCCTTGGATTTTATTGTGGAATGTCTGGACACGTGGCTGTGTGGAGCCTCTATCTGATGGATGATATTTTTATAAATAAATTTAAATAATTGTTTTTGGAATATTCAATTAAAATGTTTTCTCGCTAAAACAATTTTCAGGATGTAATTGGGATGAGCGAACCATAGTTTGGGTTAAAATTTCTTCAAAATCCAAATCCAAATCCAATATACTAATCTCGCCAAACAGTGTTTTATGTTTTTGCTTAAGGCATATTAATTCAGGTGAGTTTACCATTTAAAGTTTTGGATTAACATCCTCACAATTCTTTAACAACGCCCACCTCAAATTTAGTTTAAAATTTTTGAGCTTCATATCACGAGTTTGAACATTCTTCAAACAATATACAATATACCCAACTTTCGGATTTATATAAATGACGAAATCTTGCAACTCTTGACACGGCTATCATACGAGATACGAACTAGTCCAGCCATTATAACATAATCCCATTACAATCAATAAAAATTACAAAAAGCCGTCATTGTAACCTAGAATACATTTATTTTCTTTCGATACTGATTTAACCCTATATATTTTGCTCCCACGCTTAATATAACACCCGTCCGCGAATTATTTGATCTCTAACACGTGTATGTCAACAATTATAATGCATTCCATAAATAAATAAATAAAAAAATAAAAGGAGGGAAAAAAAAATATCACCTTCAAACAGCAATTGCAATAAAGTTTCAGAATTTCCATTACAGCTTCTACACAATCATAATTCTCAATATTTCAAACTTAATATCACTATAATTCATCAACTCACAATAAGCCTCCCAACGATCTTAATTTCAATAAAATTATCCACCCTATCTGCACATCCCCTTTTAACTGTTCACTTTCAACCAACTTGTCTTATAGCAATCCAATACTTCTTAACGCTATGTTGGTTACCAAGATTTGCGAACCAGACTTTTTTGAAAAAGGAAAAAAAACATCAAAAAAAAAAAAGTGTGAAATAAAATGAAATTATGAATTCAGTGTTTTATCTTCCACATTCTTCCACTTTATCTTTTCAATTTTTCTTTCCAAATATCTTCTCGTCAAATCCCCAACCAAACACAACATAGGAATACGAAGTATTTAGAATCAGAATCAGAATCAGAATTCACAATGGAGTTACTGAATAATTTACCCGCTTGAAGCCAAATGAAAAAATATATATATACATATATCTCAGAGAAAACTGCTGCTGTCGCATACAAAATTAAAATTGTATATTAATTACAGGAACTAGCATGCTTGATTAGCCTAAAAAACCGAGATGTGAAATAAAATGTAGCCAGCAACTTCAGGAATGGTGCGTCAATCCTCACTAAACATCAGCAAAGTATTTTTCTTCAGGCAATCTTGACGGGCCTCCCTTCACCAGTGGTCATCCAATTGTCTCGTCCTCATCGATTTTTGAGTAACTAAAATGCTGATGATCTCCCCTTGACAGAAACTTTTGCTGCAGATGTGGGTGAATTGGTCCATTCGATCTTTGCCATCTCCTCTGCAGATAAAAAGTTGCCTCCCTCTGTGTGCCTCACAGTGGCGGATTGCTCATTACTGAAGCATCGGATTTTCTTTGAAAGCATCGCTGAAATCAGAAAAAAAGCAGGAACAATCAGTAAAAGAATGGGAGTGTAGGAAAACTTAGTATGGGAACTGCAATGATAAAGTTCAATGAAACACCAAAACCCCCCAACAAAAAACCCCCAAAACCAACACCACCTAAGATTAGGCAAGAAGAAACTAGGAATGTCCGGTAAAAATCATATATCACCTTTGAAAACTTCCAAATGTTCCCATGAGGTCGAAGGGAAAGAGAAGTGATTAATTTTTAACTAAGGAGCTTCAAATTTTTAGATTGCACTCACTCCAACCTAGAAAAACAAATATTTGAACAATATAATAGGTGGCATGATATCTCTATTTGGTTTTATCTCTAATGCTTTTTTGTAAGTTATCTCACTGTACCATATCCTTTTCAGTAAGTAGTATCCATGGTGCAATCACTTATCAAGCCTAGTTGCTATCGATTGCCATTCTTGACTTGTGCTTGTTGAAATCCAAAAATGTGTCCTCAACTTTAAAGAAAGACCATTGAGGTTTTTAGTTGTTCTTCACAATGAATAACAAAACACACCATAACGACAACGTCTTCATTTTAAAAGAGTAATTGGTCCTTGTTCCATAGTACTCGCAATTATCAAAAATCCAAATCATCTTAATGAATGAAAACAAAAGTATGCAAGATTTTGAAGCCTCTTGTGTTACAAAAGTGCAAGAGAGAAAGGGCTAGAGGCATTGCTCGTCAGTTCATTTATTTGTTATCCCTCTTCATTTCGTCCAGTTCTCTCCACCCAAAAATAAGGTAGACTGTAAAGTTGAAGGAAAAACAGGCTTCTATTGAGACACAAGAATTTCTGCTTAGTTAAGCTATTAAGGTTGAATTCATTTGGTTTTGAGAAGGTGAACGACTTCTACTCTTTTCCCACTTAAAAGGTCAGGAACAACTACCTACATCCTCCCAGTTAGCATTATGAGCAAACCAAATTCAAAGATGTTGTATTCATGTTCACAGTGTGTTAACAGGCTTAGGTATGTGTCCTAGTGCCAGTATGCACCAAACATCATTATCCCTCTAACCCTTAATTAGACACTACACAAGTCTAAAAGACGGATATATGTTACTAATAAACGAAGTAACAAATAAAAACAAAAATAGAGAAGTGATAAGCTAAATGTCTACGAAGAGGAATGTGGAATGGCTGGCATTAATTAGAATAATAATCTATGATAGACAATAGAAGAACAACAAAAGTCTTAAAAAAAGATAAAATAAAATTATTTGTTAGGAACTAACTTTGTTATGAAATTTAGCAAAAATCCATCAATCACTGAGGATCCCAGAAATGGTAGACCATAAAAACAACCAACATTAGCCTATGCCAATATACTCCCAGAAAATGATAAAACCAAGAACCTCAACACAAAGTTGAGCATCTTTTCTCACGGAATGATTGACTCAATTAAAAAATTCCATGAAGTGACATCCACATTTCATTTTCTTGCAATTAATAGGGATGGGTCAAATGAATGCAGGAAGTTTTCAACAAGGATCTGATGCCCATGATTGGTGAATTTATAATACAGCCCTACATGCCTTCAAAGAGCCTTTTCCTCAGCTACTTGAAGCAACACATGCCTTCTATTAAATCTTGATCAATTAACAATAGCAACTACTGGTGATCTAGTAGAATTTCACAATTTAAATCAATGCAAACAACTACTCAATTTGGCATCTTCACATTTTAAGAATGTTTCTTAAGAGAAGCAAGACTCCATTCACAATAACTGCATCGTAGGTTATTCATGCTGAACTCTAAGTAGAAAAGAAAACATAAAAAGCTTTCTTTGTTTTGATAGTAAAAAAAAATTGAAAAGGAACCAGCCTTCGACGTTGACCGCAAGTTGCACTGTCAAAACCCTTAATTATAGTGAAGCAAGTAAAGGGTCATAGTCAGCAACAAACAATCACAATCCACAACTAAACAAGAAGCAACCAACATCGTAAGCTAGAACTACGTACCCAGTGGAATAAAATAACGGCGATAACATATCCTGGCATGAAGATAATTAGTTCACCCCAAAAAATTACCCCCAAAGGATGTGATGTCCCATTAGCAAACAAGGCTCTCCCATCTTCTGTTTTCTTTTCTTTCTTCATCTTCATCTTCATCTTTCCTTTCTTCCTCCTCCTCCTCCTCCTTCCTCCCTCCTCCTCTTGTTGTCTCTCTCATTCCCAACCCAATCCCTCTGGCCACACCCAATCTCTGCTGCTCCCTTTAATCTTCTCCACCAAAATAGGCCTCCCCGACCGGCCTCATCAGCTGTCTCCGACCACCGCTCTTTCCTGGCCTCGCCATTCTCCTCCCGCTTGGGTCCTGAAACTTCCCCACATACTCATGGTGCAATTAGGGTTCTCTCTCCCTCATGGCATCCTCCGAAAGTAATTCCCATCACAAATCAACCCGTCATGTACGCCCTCTTCGGTTTTGATCTTCTTAGACCTAGACCTCAATTCCTTCGTTCGTTTGGCTTAAATTAAAAGCTCCGCAGATTATTTAAATGCCAATTTGATTTCTAATCGTCTTTCATAATTTCGAATTTTTTAAGCTCCTCAAACGTCAATTGCGTTCCGTATCGTTCTGAATTCCACAAAATCATCACAAAATTACGTTATGAGGAAAGTAGATTATAAAAATAACGTGTTCTTGTGTATGCATCGAGAGAGAGAGAGAGAGAGAGAGAAGAGTACCTAAGAAGGACGGCGAGGTCACGGGAGAGGAGGTCTCTTGAGGAGGGATGCGTTGGGATGGAGAGGAGGAGAGGGTTGCAGAGGGCGCGAAGGGAAGTTAGAGGTTTTCGAGCTTTGAGAGCCTCTCTGCTATGTCTTCATGGGCTTCGCGCTCAGACCTATCTTCTTCTTCGTCTATCTCTTTCCTGCATCTTTCTCTCTCTCTCACTATTTTCTCTCTATCTTGTTTCGATCACTGATAATCTCTCTCTCTCTCTCTTCAGCTAACTCAATTAGCGGTTTTGCTCTGAATTAATTTCTGCGTTGCTCTACGAAGGGCACCAAGGATTCTAGAGTATTTTTTTTTTTTAAAAATTGAGTATTGTATGTTTTGATTTAATATTAAAAAATTTAATATAATTTATTATTAAATTTCAAACCATATATATATTA